CCACATATTATTGTTAAATTTATTATCTTAGATATGAAATGCATTTTACGCCGATTCTCAAGTTTACTCTAGTATTAGGTACCGTTTGAAAAAATATTTTATATTCAATTTATTTTCATTGATTCAAGCAGCATTTTGTTTTTATATAAAAATATTTTGTATATACAGTATATTTACGATTATATATAGGATGTGACAAAAAGTATCCAAAAGATGTTAAGATTCTTGTAATGTACAGAAAAGTCAAGTATGGTTCTGCTAATGTTTTTCAATTGACTTATTGTCCAAATGAAACAATTAACTGTGATATTAACGACATTATGAGAATATACTGTACTATACTTCTGTGAAATAATGCATAGATTTTTGGAATTTTCTTGTTTTCCTTTATATTGTAGAAAAATTAAGTTTTCTCTCAAAAGAGATAAACATTAAAAACATTGTAATTCTCTATTAATGAGAAATGTATTCATAGCATCATTACTGTAATTAACGTTTGGAATGAAATTTAATTTTAGCAGTTTTTACAATAAAGTCTTATTACTGTTTTTATCACATTTTAAGAATTCATAAAATACTCAGATTAAGTTTCAATCAAGTTTTAAACCATTTTTAAGCTAGTTTGTGTATCAATAGTAATATACTGTATTTTTAATGTAAAAACCTATGAATTGAATTGCATTCCAAGCGACAAATGCATAACAGAATTTGTAATTTTAAAGTTTTATCATTTAATTCATTGATTATAAATAAATTATTGTTTATTTCAATTCAATTAAAAGTGGTTTCACTACAAAATGATTCATTAAAGTGAATTGAATTTAAATAGAAAAAACATTACAATTGTCATTAATTGTCATTAAATAATAAACAAAGCGAAACGTCCTCTTCTTGTGAATCCTTTAATCGGCTGTTTTTGGTGTAGAAAATTGGTCTCAAATTCTTAATTTCGATGCTTTTATGTTTGTATAGCTGTCCGATATTTTTCTATTGAAAAATGGTTTTTAAAAATGGTATACTCTATACAGAAATGACTCAACACTTACGCCAATCAATTGTGAGAGAAGTCTTCTCAGGAATTCCTTCTTCTTCTTTTCAGTGAAATTAATTTTCTCACTATTTATGAGTTTATCGTTAAATTGATTCCATTCGTTGATATGGGAACCACTCATTTCACTCAAACTCACTTTAATGGCATTAAAACCTAATTTGATGGCAATTCCCTCATAGAGAATGAGTATTAAGTCCAATAGAATGGACTGATTTTGTTCGTGTTCTCCGAAATAAGACAAACCGCTAATCAATTGCTGCAACAGGAAAAAGATGGCGTCTTCGGTGCGGATCATCTGCTCTTTGATTATCTTTCGTATGAGAAGTGCATTCAAATGAGAAGTTTTTAACGCAGTGTTTGAGTCGAGCCATGAAAGGGCTTTAGCGGTCGGGTATATAATGACATTGGGAATGGTATTGAGTAAATAGTTGCCTAATTCGGATATATCTGTATCCATCACATCATTGTTATCCATATTCGAGTCAATCGACTGATTCGTTTTGATTGGACTCAAAATAGTAACTAATAGTTCAATAAACTCTTTGCCTAAAAATCGATTGATTTGATCTGAAATCACTTCCGTCTCAATGGGTTCGCTCTCGTCTTTCATGCCTTCATCTATGCATTGATTCTTAGCTTTAATTTCATTCCACTTCTCATCGATTTTATTGAAAAGAAAGGGCAAAAGAATACTAATAATTGGCTCAACATTTTGATAATGAACTATATTTTGCGGACAATTTGCAATCAAGGGTTTCACAAAACTCTTGACAATCGTTCGCAGTTTCCATTCCGGAAGAAAGTCAATGTCTTTAAATACTGGCTTAAAGTCAGAGATCTGATCATAGATATGTGGCTTGAGTACAGTTGCGGCCACACCTAACAGACAATAACAATTCTCATGCAAATTCCATAAGAAAACTTGCATCCGATAAGCATCTGATTTGGTGGTTATGTGTTCATTATTCTTGCTATTTGATGCTATATCTAAAACGTGTGTTTTGTCCGTTTCAGTGATGTTGGCGTAAACCAGACTCCTGTAGTTTTCATGACATTTCTCCTGATAGTCTGGTCTCCAAATTGTATTCAAATTAGAGATTAAACAAAACAGACCATTGATTAGAGGAAATATTTGAGGCATTAACACAATAGTTCGCTCGCTTTTGATACGCTTGAGTAAACCTAAAATCAGATTCACCGCATACACAATGTTTGCCCGCTTTTCACTATAGATCTTGTCATCTAATGAATCCAAATGGAGACCCATATCACACAGCAATTCCAATGCATTTATATTGTAATCTTTAATCCAGTTTATAGATGTAAGCAATTCTTCAATAAATTCTTTTTGAAGTCCAATGTCTTGGAATTCATTGCTATTTTTAACAAATTTATATATTATAAAGAAACCATAATTTACTGTATATTTAAATTGAACCTGATTAAAACTAGTCCTTCATTTAGAGCACACTTTTCCATTTGACTAAATTGCTGGACATCTGTACCCTCGCATTGGATGTAGTTTTTAATGATTGGAAATAAAGGCTTTCAATAGAAAACGAATATTTTTAAGAATGAAGTTATATGCGATAGGTTCTTTTAAATAACAATAAAGTCTTACAACTAATAGTGTTGGATATGTTTGACATATTTTGATAAACAGAGAGCACGCGTGTCGGCGAAGATTCTTCACATCTTTGGTTTTGGGTTCCCGTGTCTGACCCTCAAGTGTAAACGACGACAAAACTAATGTCTATAAAAATGTGCAATAATTGTATTACAAAATGTGTGAACACTATGTTAGATTTAATTTAGAAATACCCGTTCAATGATGTGTTTGAGAGAATTGTCGCAAATGTTGGGCAGAAATACAGTGAGCGCTGATATGCATGAAAGTTGGCTCGATATGATATCGGCATTATTTCTATTGCTTTTGTCGATTAGTAGTTGCAAAAGAACATCACTTTCGGTGCAAAACTTTAAAAAATTGTTTCCAATTAAACTCAAATATAAGTACCGGTAAAAGCAAATAGAGTGGAAAAGTAATGAATTTTACTTGAGTTCTGTCCACAATTTTGTTGAATACTGCGGCAGAAAGTTGTGCCAATATCTCCCAAACAATTGGATCATCATTTGACTTAATTATAGCAGTGTTCAGTGATTCGCTGACAAAATTGAAACACGTTTTCTGATCCAAATCTATTGAAATTATCATAAAAATTATAAATTGCTAAATGTCATATCTGAGTTTTACAAAATTAGAAAACTATGGATGATTAACACTATATCGGTCATTCAAATAACTTACAATTTCTATAAGATATTACAGTACTTATAATCACTCTTGAAATGAATTAAATTATGATTTTTTTCAAACCAGTCAATGCATTAGAGTCTATACTTATACTTATAAAAGATTCAATTGCGAGATCCCTGTCCATAATCAGGCAAATCTGTTGACTAGTCATTTAAGTGATGAGTGAAACTTACAAGTCATTTGTCTGAGGAGTTCAATGGTGTCGGCTCTAAACTTCAAGAAGAAAGTCTCGAAGTCGTCGGTGTCATCGAAATCTAAGCCTAACAGAGATCTATTAAACTCTTGTCGTGAGATCTTGTGCGCAATCAATGATAATAAACTCGTTTGCAATGAATTGTCGATTAAATGATTGTTATAAAATTGTTTGCAATTCTTGATGAAAGTGAACCAAAACTGGACAGCAATGGCATTCAATACTATATTTTGATGGGAGAACAGAGAGATCATCACTTGAAGACATTGATTCCAACTATCAATTGATATATCGTTTATATTGGCGAAAGTGACCACTTGTTGACAGATTGCGCTCATCACTGAAACCAAACGCTTAACTAATGTCTGAATTTCAAAGTCTTGGGAATTTAATTCAATATATTTTCTATGGATTTCAATGAGAACAGCTTTAGTGACACTTGTGGCTCATTTATGGCAAACAATACAAACCTAACGATACAATGGATTAAAGAGATGTTATAATTGTTATAAAGGCTTTGGATGGCAGTCTTATCGCTTGGCTTCAGTTGTTTGCGGTTCAGACACACCAGAAGACAATCGCAGACCTGTTGTTTCATTTGAATCCATTTGTTGTGCTGATAATCGTTGGCTAATATCTGCAACAATTGGTTCATTAAGCTCTCATCCAATAGTGTCCATTCAAACATGACATTCAATGCGGAAATGGATGTCAAACAGAGATTAGTGTCCGAACTGTTGAGACATTTAGAAATATATGAATAAATTTGAGACAAATTGCTATTCAATTCATTAGTGATTTCACGTCTTCGTTGTCCATTGTTTGGTCGGAAGAAGATCCCAATGTCTTCAGACAACTGCCAAATGCAGTACAAACTCAAAGTGGACTCTCTGTGAAGCAAATGAGACACAAATTGTGGCCAATTTTGGGGCCACTCTCTGATGACCACTTCGACGACACAACGACTCGAGGCGTTCATCAAATGCCGCCATTCGTTGACCCGAACCTCATCTGAAGACATGTCAATGAGAAACCAGTTTTGGATCAATTGCTTGATCTGTTGCTTTAGACTATCATCGATTGAATTCCAGTGGAATTTGATGACCACTTCCAGTGTCTGCAAACCAAAGAGTTTGTAAACAACCGATTTGTGGCTCAACTGATCGGTGGTCTGATTGAGGAGTCTTAAGGAGATGTCATATAAGACCAAAACATTGTGATTGTATTTAAACTGATCCATCAATTGATTGGCATTATTCCTCTCGAGTACACCACTCTTCTCATCCATCACCACATCAATCGATTGACACAATTGTCTGCAAATGATCTCATTTTCATTCATTTTATTCAACTTAAAGACAAATTACAAGAATTTCGTTAACAATCAGTCTTTCATTGAAATGAGTGTTTGTTTTGAACCAATGTTTACATCAAAACATTGAAAGCATTGAAGCATTGAATCGTTGAATGCCTGCAAAGCTGTGCTCAACACTAGCGCTCAACCAATGCTGACAATGCTTTCACTACACATACAGTCAGATACAGTCAGTCAATACAATAATGCCTAACATTATAACAATTAGTTATAAACTATTTATTAATCAAATCAATGATTGAAAAAACATTAAAAATAATTTCCACAAAAAATTAATATAAAATTTACTTAAAATGTAATCAAAACCAAACATAATATAGTGTTTAGCTGTAGTGGTAGTGATGGGTCGCGATGATCCCGGGGTTGTCTTAGGGTGCAGGTGAGGGGTCACTCTTGGGGCACTTGGGGGTGAGCCACACGATGACCCCGGACACCACCAACATAGCCACCCACACGACCCAGAAGAGCACGAAGAGAGACATACGGAGGCGCACCCAGAAGGGGTCGGTCGCGTACTTCATGAGCTCCTTCTTGGACATCCCCACTGCGCCGCCCAACCCCTCGTCCACATCGACCACTGCCTCCCCATTCTTGCTGTCGGGGGTGTACTTGACGATCGACGCCTGGGCCTCGTCCTCGGGATTCAACTTCTGTTTGACGGCCACCTCCTCATCCATTTCCAACTGTTCCGACTCACGACTCGCTTCCACTGACATTATCACCAATTCTCGCGTTTATGCCTTAATTGCGATCAATTGCTGTCAATTGAGTCCAATTAGTGAGCAATTAATGATATGATAACCAATTGGATGATTAAATGCTTACCACAAGTGATATCATATATAGAGCGAGCAGTGAATGGTATGAATGTATGGATACTATGGAAGCGTATATAGAGTTGTGTTGGGAGTGGGAGTCGGAGTCAACTCAACACGAAAGTCATATGACATTCAATACGTCTACAGAATCTGCTAAACCATACAATCCATACACAACTCGTTTGCTAATTATATTCAATTCAAACCATTACCACATCACTGAACACTCAACACATCCCAGGCCTCACACCACTCAACACTATATCTCATATTATATACAATTCTTGCAAACTATATTTCCACATTTATTTCACTAACCCTGGTCATATGGTGTCTATTGGTGATAAAGTTTAATTTGCAATAATTTATTTTACCTCATTTATGTGAATTGAATTCAGATTTAAATTCACTCACTAAAGTAGTATTTATATGTGATATTGTTTTGTAAATTATGGTTAATGAACTTGGTCTTATCAAATAAAATAGACAGTTTCAAATATTGTCCTGCTCTTTTAATGATTAAATTGTACTCATTTGTCAATAGAAAGTTTAGTCTTAATTTTACTCTCAAATCAACACAATTATAAGTGTTTCGTATTTTAAAATTTATAATATTCAAGTCAATATATCATAGTACTGTATGATATTAGCAGGGTAATTTTAATCTTTTATTTATTATCAATGATAATTGATCATGTATTATTATTTTTATTAATATTCTGTAATTTAATGCTAGGAATAAAGCTCTATTGTAATGGAAATATAACTGTATCCGTGTATTGAGAATGAAATAAGTATTGAATACTTGAAACTCGATTACTTAGCTATAAATATTAAAGCATTGCTGCAATTGAATATGAATAACATATCAAAAGTATTGAATTGATGTCCAATTATAAATTATCATAAACTTATTAAACGTATGAAAATTGATATGAAATTCAAAACACCATTGAACACCCTCTGCACTGTAAGACATTCATGTATTGGCAATCACTTACATCTAAATTCAATTCAAGTTTGGGTTGTATTTCTCTAAAAAATCAAACAATTTATGTTTATAATGATTTCATGTTGTACAGTATAAACACAACAAATGTTTGTATTAAACAAATTCTATAAAAATAATGAATGTCTGCTGTAAGTCACCAAATCTGTCATTTCTTGTCAAATGAACTCTAGTGTCGCAACTCATATAATCACTGTCGAGGGCATATGGATTGGGTTGGGGTCGGGTGGAGTAGGGGTGGGGTTGGATATGATAACCAGAGGTTCATTGGTGTCTTAGTGTTACCATAATTGATAATATCAATTTGATACTCTAATAATCAAATAAAGATTTTTAAAATTTAGGGAACAGTTGTCTCTAGTTTTAAATTAAATTTTTAATCATTTACCCAAACTATATAGCACAGATATTATTATGTAAATAAACATAAAAAATCAAACTGATTTAATCAAAATAATTTCAAAACGATTAATGTATATAATTTACTGTTATAGTACATTATAAACTTTATACTAAACAAGTGCTACTAATTACAGCAAAATAAAAACTTTAATGAATTGTAATATTTCCAGAAACTTGTAACTTATTGTTTTTACACTTATTATAATATAGAAATACTACTTAGAAGCAATTTAACTTATATTTAACTATATTTGAAATTTATAAAATATTAAATAATTAACTGTAACTTCACTTGATCAATTTAATTTAAACTTGTTTTTAGTTTATGGAAAGTTTATCTTAAAGTTAAATTTTGAACCAAACCATACAATGATCACTAATAATGACTGTAATATTTTTAGAAAATTTAATAATAGCTGTTAAATGCAGTATTAATTTAAAAGTTAATTTAATTTAATTTAGAAGTTAGATTTGACCATGGCAAATTAATAATACTATTACAGAATATGGATTGACATCTGCTGGAGTTGACAGCAATTAATGTGGTGTTAGATATGAATCCGATTTAAGTTACATGAAGTAAATGAAGTGATGAGCACATTGTGAAGGCCATGGAAGTGCTGCAAGTGACCAAATATGATCACTTGGACACCGATTCCTTTGACCAATTGGTCTCCAAAGTGAGTCAATGGTGTGTATTATTAATGGTTTGTCTCACAGTTTGTTTGTCTTAAAGGACGTGCCATTTGTGATAAGAGACGCCGACTTCGGTGGATGTCTTAATCGGTGGTCAGCCGACTATTTGATGGACAGATTGAAAGATATATCGGTTTCAGTGCACGTCTCGAATGAACCGAAACTGGATTTCGTGAACAAAAACTTTTCGTATAAAACGATGGCTTTGAACGAAATGATCGATAAATGTCTTAATGATCGCCAAAACTATTATTACTTGCGATCCGTTGGTAGTGACCGACGGGCCAGAGATGTGGCGGACATCAGGACTCAGTTCCCCAGTATTTCAGAAGACATAACGATTCCGTCGTTTTTAGCCATTAATGAAACCAAAGACGAGACACAAGACTCTGATGGGAAGCAACTCTTTTCGAGCGTTTTTCGCATTTCATCGCAAGATTTAGTTCTTTGGACGCATTACGACATTGTGGACAACATCTTAGTGCAGATCAGAGGCACCAAAAGAGTGGTTCTCTTCCCTCCCAACGACTCTCTCTTCCTATACTTAGAGTCAGATAAGTCGCGAGTCATTGATATCGACGAACCCGACGACCAAATGAAAGAGAAATTTCCACTCTTTTTGAACGCCAGACGCTATGAATGCCTTCTGGAAGCGGGAGAATCACTGTTCATCCCTTCCCTTTGGTTCCATAACACCAAAGCTCTTGAGTTCAGTATTGGAATGAATTTCTTTTGGAAAGACAAACAATTATCGCAACAAAATCTCTACAATAAGAGCGATGTTTACGGCAATAAAGACTTAAATCCAGCCATCGATGCCTTCACTAATTTAGACAAAGCTATGAAACATATCGACAAAATGCCGCAAAAGTTTAGACAATTTTATTTACGGATTCTTATCAATAAATTACAGAAGAAATTAACTTAAATTTCTATATTTTATTTGTTTTTCATTCAGATTCTAATAAATTCCATATGTATTTGATATTATAATAAGAATTAATTACAATAAAAGTTTATTTGACTTTAGTTTGATTGACAACTTCTGTCAAATATTTTTCTGATTACTGTATTTTATGAAATTATACAAATTCCTATTGAATAATAAAATGACAGGGTTTCTAATACTGTAGTTCACTTTTCATGTTAACAATATTATTGGAAATTAATTTAATTCTATAGCACCACAAAAGAGTTGCTGGTTAATTTGGTTTGGTGTTGTGTGCTTGTTTAAGGGTTTGTCTACTATAACCGTATACAGTATTCAATATCTTTGAAAATAATTTGCCAAATATATTGTGAAATAAATGGAAAATCGTAAAATATAAATATTGTACCAGTATAATGAATGTTTATTAGAGTAAATGAGAATCATTACAAAAAAACAAATCAATCAAAACTCTGTAATCACTGATTTGTCGGTTAAGACGTGGGACATGAGAGTAGTTTAGTGATCATTGAACTGATAGTCTCGTCATTACATCTGATGAGTTGTTTTCTACACAAATCGATCTCAACATCCGTGCCATCGATGCGACAATTCATAACAGTCTCTCCATCGGTGGTCAGCCCCTCCACAGCAAACATATCGTTCAAGAGATCGGTCAAAAGGGTTGAGTTCAACGGCTTCTCATCATCGGGTCTACCGGTGTATCCATTGGACTCACTCTTGAGAAGTACGGCTATAATAGAGTCGGCGTACATATCGGCCACAGGACTGGCCACCCAATCCAGTGTCACAAGTCTCGCACTAGTATTCAACGCCACTACTATTTGGCGCATAACTCGTACGGACCTAACCTTCCCATCGGATATCTCGCAATCAAAATGCGATAAACAGTTACACAGGTCCTCGAAAGTGCCCCCGAAGTGGACGGACAGCTTTTGACTAATGGTGCTCATCGCCATATCCGTGTATTTAGCCAAATCCGTCGGCGCCAGCAAATGATAGGCAAAGTTCCTCTTAACCAACACTCCGGACAACTTATGGCCCGCTTTTGGGGGATCTATAGCTAGGCTTCCCATCACTTTTGCGGTCTTTTCGCCCCTGAAGTGAAGGCGCACGGGAACGGTATTCCTAGGATTATGAAGGGTTGGCGGACTAACTGAGTCCTCGTACTCGCGCTGAAGAGCGGCCTTCAGTCTATTCATCTCATTGGCCTCCCCGTGGACTAGGATTATGTGCGGGGGTCGGAGGGCCCGCACAAACTCACTGGTCTGCTGGTAGTCCGTGTGGGCGGAGAACGAGATGTACTCGATCTGACACTTGCGGGCAATCTTCTGACCGCTCAATGCAGTGATCTCTTCGGGTTCGGCCAACACCTGTTTGGCTAGAGTTCCCTCAACACAATAGCCGGCAATTATGCAACAGTTGCGAGAGTCCGGACACCACGACTCGAACAGTTCCCTGGAGAGGCCGCTCTGCATCATCCCAGGGCTGGCCAGTACGACACAGGGGCCCACGTCGTCGAAGTGGTCCATCGACTTGAGGTTCGAGATGTGTTTGAAGACAAACGGGTTGTTGACCGCAATCTGCTTCTTAATCCGGTTGTTCATGGCGTAGATGTAGGTCTGGTAGACAGACATACACTTCTTGGCGAGGGAGGAGGCGTAGTAGATGGGGATGTCGTGCAGTTCCGGGTGTTGCGACCAGTACTCGTCCAGAATCAGTAGGAGTTCCTGCGCCCGACCCAACGCGAACACTGGGATCAGACACCGACCTCCGCGGCTAACCGTGTCGTACACTATACCCGTGAATCTCGCCTCCCGTTCCTCCCGTTTCTCGTGAATATGTGTGCCATAAGTGGACTCAATGACGAGCACATCGGGCCTAATGGCCGGTATCTCAGCGCTCATGAGATGCCGGTCCTCCTGTCGCGAGAAGTCTCCGGTGTAGAGGACCCGTACGCCGGCGATCTCAATCATAAACATGGCGGCGCCCAACACGTGGCCCGCGTTGTAGCACCAGAAGCGTACGCCCGACACCTGTTTCTCTTCGTGGAAGTCGATGGTCTCGATTTTGTTCATCGATTGCTCCAAATCGGACTCATTGTAGAGCATCTGATCCGCCGCTATATTCGACACTTTGATATAATCGGCTAAAATCCAGCGATAGATGGCTTTCGTGGCGTGTGTCATAAAACATCGGCCTTTGAATGTGGTCTTCTGCAGAAACCACGGAAGAGCTCCGCAGTGATCCAAATGGAAGTGCGAAATGAGCAACAGATCGATCTGTTCCGGGTCTATCACGTCCACGAATGGCAGTGCATCCATGCCGTTGAGACCCGGATGTATACCGCAGTCCAGAAGAATGCGTTTGCCTTTGAAGGACAGGTATATACAGCTGCGGCCCACCTCTTGACCCGATCCCAGAGCCGTCAACTCCAACAGATCGCTCTCATTGTCTTCGCTCACCACTCGTCTCGACTCAACCGACTCGTTGCGGTTCAACACAATCAGCGATTCGGTGCCCACTTTGGTCTCCATTCGTGTCACCACTAATTGATCCCAATCTTCTCACACAAGAGTTGTCTCAACAATTCAAATGTGTTGTCAAATGCAATGCTCACGTGTTTGGCGTAAACTCCTTGTGTGAGGACATCACTCCCACTCCCTGTCACACAAGCATTGTTGTGGTCGTCATAGAAACCAAACGCACGATATATTGACAAACATTTCAACTCTACTTTTGCTTTCAATTCAATTGTGTTTACAGTTAGACCTAAGAGTGAATCCCATTAGTGATAGTTTGCCATCAATTGTGGCAAATGTACACAAAATGCTGAGATATGCGGCCGCAGAGCGCAATCAAGAGGCCATTCTTCAGGTGTTGACAAATGTGTTGAGAAGTGAAGACAGATTTGACCACAATTTGAATGCTTTGGAAATAGGTTTGCATTGACTGTGAATCAATTGAACCATTGATTGTCCAGTGAATGAATGTCTTATGAGAGTTGCATCTGTTATGCCTCAGGAAGTGGTTCCGGTCAACACGTGACACATTTGGCTAAACATTTGCCTCGTATTCGATGGCAACCCTCCGACATCGATGCAACACTCTTTGAGTCCATTGAAGCCTATAGGAGACAGTCTGGTGTCCACAATATCTTAGCTCCCATTCCGCTAGACGTGTCCTCACCGGCCATTCAGTGGCCAATCCCTGGGTCACCGAAACTGGATCTTATAGTTTGCGTGAATGTGATTCACATATCTCACTGGAACTGTAGTTTAGGTCTATTTGAAGGGTCGGCCTCTTTATTAGCGCCAAACACTGGTCTTCTGGTGACATATGGGCCGTACGCTTGCGATGGAGTCATAACTCCGGAAAGTAATGTCATATTTGATAGGAGTTTGAAGCGACAGAACCCCGATTGGGGTCTCAGAGATATCCGGGACCTCAAAGAGTTGGCCGCCAAGAATGGGTTGACGTTTGTGTCATCGCATGAAATGCCAGCAAATAATAAAGTTTTGGTTTTCAGGAAAATCTAATTTCGAGATCCCATTGAGATATACCGTACAATCAAAGTACAGAATTTGGTTTTAAATAATTCTGACATTTATTCTGAATTTAAATAGTTTTACAACAGTTTTAGTGTTTGCTTGAAGTCTGAATAGACTTTAAAATTGATTGATTTATAAGTCAAACAATCGATAAAAATAACATTTCGTTAATTTTGGGGACATTTTTTCGATAATATACAAATCCATGATTTTATACATTATTTTTATATATAATTAATGCTATTTATGTTTATTATATAATAAATGGATAAATGAATGCAATATATGTGCAAATGTTTGACTTTAAATGAGGGAAAGGGAGGGGAGGAGAGGCTCTAAACTAAACTCGAATACACGAGTTGTCGATAAATAATAATTTGTCGGACATTCAAATAACCTCTACTTTAAAGCCAATAACTTTTTAAACTGTTTTTTAAATTAAATAAAATGTAGAACCAAAGCATGTCATCATTGGACAGGCATTTTCTTTTGGCAGTCATCACAAGTCCTGACCGCCTGATCCCAACCCCGTTCGGGAACTGATCGACGAGTTTGAGAACAGGGGTCACAGACTCCTTGACCACAAGCCCTGCAGTGATGTATTGCTAGTTTGTCGTTAAACTCGATTTTGCAGACAAAACACTGAGTGATGTCTTTGTCGGGCACCCAATACTCAGGTCGAGCCGACTCTTTAATCCATTCTTTAGAAAAATCAAATAATTCTAAATCAGTGTCAAAACAAATACAGAGTTCACTGTTTTCATGCCTCATATCATATCACATGAAACAGTAATTATGAAACAAATGAATGAATCAAATGAATGCAAACATACCGCGAGGATAAACGACGGTCGCGGACACGAGATTGCCGAGAGTGCTCTGAACCATCTCTCCCACTATACGCGCCGTCACCTCTGCATTCGCCGCATCCACCGATTTCTCCCCTATTTTACAATCATTATTTAATCCCAATTTATGCACAAACTATACAAAAACAAACCCTTTTCAAAGCATTGGTCACAGACTCTGACCGGTTGGTCGCCCCAACCCCTCTCTGGCACCGGACGACTCTTCGAAGAGCAGCCCTCGCAGAAGCCATGGCCACACAAACGGCTTCATTGCAGTCATAGATTAGTACATAATTAAGTCAATTTCATCAATATATCAGTCATACCAGTGATGCTTTTGATCCAATGGTCCGAATTCTTTGTCACATCCGCCACAATGCTATACACAATACAACACATTAGTGAATGTCACACATTCATCACATTATAGCAAAACAAACCAGAATTCTATTGTTTGGCACCCAATAAGCCGGTGCAATCTGATCGGCCATCCAATCAGCAAATACTTTCGAGGGTCTGGCAGTCATTTGTGATACATTTGTAGTCAGATAACCCAATGTATCAATAGCTCTCTGCCCAACATTTTGAGACCCTTGCGATGGTATCGGTTCCTAACCAATAGACATACAGCATATTAATGAAACAGTGAGGTCACGGAATCTACTGCACTATACTGTAAGCACAGCTCAATTTGAAACATACAAAGCAAAAGCCCTTAATAGTTGGACTCCGAACAAGAATTACAAATGAGTCATATATTACAGTAACTCATTCAACATTCAAAATGATTATAAAGTGATCAGAGTCAAATTATTACAGGCATTCAGTTTGAAATGCATGTACACTTAGAGTAGGAATACTGACGTCTGGCCAGACGTGTTGTATTTCGGTGCGAACGACACTCTGTTCAGTGGGCTCTTTGTTGCCATACCAGTACTGTCTGCTCCTGTAGATCACTCCACAGAACTTGCACTCCAGGATATACCCACTCCAGGCATACTTTGCGATCCCAACCCAAGTGGACTCATCGGAAGCCGTGGTCTTTGGTGTGACGGTATTCAACTCTCCCCTATCATTACACGCCCGACATATCAGGATCTGGTTATTGAACTGATGCTGATATTTGCATTTGTTGTGAGCCGAGTGTAACTGTCCATCGCGCCAGTGGTTCATTGAAAGCGTGCACTGAGAGCTATTGGCAGACAATTGGCAATTCATGAATGCATACAAAACACTCGTGTGAATGAGTACTCACTTGCAGGACAAGCAGTGCACCGAACACTTGAAGTACGCGTCGAAGAAGGTCTTCGGAACCGTTTTGTTGATATCTCCGGAAAACTTCTCATTTAACAGCTGTTGGATTGCAATTTAAAGTTAGTCTACAATTTCAACACAAATGGCATTACTTTTAAGGCCGTGAAGACAACATCGGAAGTACGACTCGACCGAACGGTAGAGTTGTTTAAGTGTTTTTTGACAGTCTCTTGAAGTGGTCTGAAGTCTGTCGGCGGAGATATGGTTTGCGTTCCGACGTATTCGAAAGCACTGAAGGCTTCAATCGACTGATCTGATTGTTGGAAGCGTTTGCGTATATAGTCTTCAGGTGTGAGATCATTGTCTACGAGAATATACAACACAAGGAATAGTTTAGTATTTCGATAAGCAATTCATAGAAATGACGACAAACCGGTGCACAAGATGTTAGTGTGAAGTGTCTCATGAAATACGATAACAGTTGGTCCCTATAGTGACAAAAATGAATGAATGAATGGATGTGTGACAAGAGTAATGAGACAATGGATGTGATACCAGATCGGAGAGAGGACACGACAGTTTGAACCTCTGAGTGGCGGCCTTCAGCTCTTTGGAAAAGTGTTGGACATATACTCGTGAGGCGTCGCCCAGGAATGTGAACAGATCCTCGTGAAGACGTTCAGCACGCGTTCGGTATATAATTATGTCAGAAATGGCCAATACTTTGAGCAGAAGACGAGTTCTGCGGTTATTATTGTCAGATATGCCGAGCAGTCCCTCCGTGTCTATTGTGATGACCTTACAGTAGGGGTCGTACGCACACCAGATGCCAATCGTACACGAGTTCTGTGTGGCAGACGTCTTGAACATCTCCCGGCCCTCGAAGAACGTGTAGTTCAACGTATGGGACTTGCCTTCACCCGTATTGCCGAAAATGGACACAACTTTGATGAGTGCCGTCGACGCACAGCCTATTTTGGCGGCGAACTCCTCACTCGAGTTCACTCTTAACAACTCGTTCTCATCGATGAGAAGAAAGCTGTTCCGATCGGTGGCATCGGTTGCGGGCGTCGAGTGCATCATCACTACACCTGTTCCGGTCATTGGCGATACGGACTTCACTGAGCAGTCGATGGATAGCTGTGCGATGCCTTCTGGCGAGGGGGAGGAGTGGTTGTGGAGGTGTCTGTCGTTTATCTCATTCTTGAGATGGGTTTCATTGCGATGAGTGGTAGTCAACAGCGAGTCGTTGTCTTCACCGCTCGAATCCAAGTCTATGTTAACTAAAGGCTCCGTCGCCTCCGATTGGTGTCCACTCTGGTTGTGAGCACTCGTCGTCTCGACGTAAGGACACGAATAGAACTCTTCGTTGTCTTCTTTGTCCTCTTTTTGTTCAATTGGTTTCCTCTGATGTTTGCGTTTGTTTGGAGACGAATGCAGTGATTGGTCGCAGAGATGACACAAGTCTTGGTTGCAGTCACTGCAGTGAATATCCGCTAAGTTCTTGGTTTGGCAGCCGTTTCCACAAATGATTTGGTCGTCACGCACGACGAGGGGTTGTCTGTCGTGTGTCTCTAATCCGCGACTTTCGTGTAACAGCTCTTCGCAGAGACGGCACTGATATGTCTTACAATCACGACATATATAGTGGGCCTCAGGATCGGGACCTAAGAGGAGGACATAAGTATGGATACAAAAGTGGATTCAAACGACAAATGAAAGGAAGGGCGGAAAGTGGGCCAACCCTTGCAGGCGAGCCGTTCCCCACACGGGTGTTGTGTCGGACGGACACTGAGTGATGGCTTGAGAGGCTTGTTATGGTTGAGCCGTTTGTTGGCCTTATTGTCACTATTCTTGTTCTTGTGGCTGGTCTTAGACTTGGAGTCAGTGTTTGTTTGCATGGATTGACACCAAACACAGTAATTAGTGATTCATTGGTTCAGTACTATAGCTATGAAATGCGACAAAACATCAAACTATAGACAAATGAATGGTTGGATGAGTGATGCAATGAGTGTCACAATGAGAGTCAATACTCTAAACCAATACTGAAATGAGTAAATCATTCAATGGATTAATAACTGAATTATTGTGCGATTCATGCAATTCAAGGCTATATTACTGTACGGACTGTAAGGCATACACAACACTGCACTCAATCTCTTTATTGTTGTTGTCATTGAGTACTGTATTCACTATTCAGTGAAACACTGATTCACTGCAACTATCCATTGCTCCCATAGGCTGTCACTGCACAGCAGTCCACACATCAGATGATTGCATGTAAACAACACTACAACACCCCTCACACAACACTACTCGGCCCTGAACATACACTGTTACCTGCACTGCACCCTCCCCTCCCCACCCCTGCATCCCTGGCCACCGCCACCGCACTATCACCAAAACACATCCCATATCTTCATGTCAATCATTAGTCATTTGTTTAGTTTAACTCTCGATTTCATTGGTTTTATGTGAAGGATATGAAGGTATTTGCAGTCAAATGATGACATTTATAGCAAACTTTGCATTCATTCATAATATGATTGCAAACACTGGTTGCGGTCAAAGTGGACCACATTTGGGACACAATGACAATGAGGCGGACAATGGCCTCTACTGTACGATAGTATGTGCCGTATATCACCCCCAATGACACCCCCAATCACACACATTGACCGCCAATCCATTCCTCCCCTCCCATCAGGTGTCACGTCATTAACGGATGCATTAGATAACGCTTTGCCAAACAAATGCGTCATTTGAATGTTGAAGTGAAGTGCAGTACTTTTACAGCAATACGTAGTGTTTGTGTTGAATACAAATGATTGGTAGCCGTTGTTGACGTATAGCGTGAAAGCGTATGCATTGTGTGAACAAAAGTGAATGTATGAGAGATGTGTGCATTGATTGGCTGTATGTTTGGCGCCATTCAACGCATTGCATAGCATTTGAAAGACATTGAGTGACACTCAGTGTATGTCTTGTGGTTTGTGTCATACTATGGATCAGATGTTGAATACATCGACCGATTGGTTGGACTCCATGGACGACAAGGACAGCACCGGTAGTATGGATGAGATGGTAGTCAAGAGTCCGGTGCGCAAGACTCGCATCGAGAGAGTGGCCGACGGACTGAACGTATCGCCCATTCGTGCCATTCCTCAGACGATGGCTGAAGACATGAGTTACGAAAGTATCTATGATTTCGATGAAGACGTGAGTTTCGACAGAAGCAGAAGCAGTCGTTCGTACAGTTCGGTGAAGAAGTGGTGCCACTTCTCGTCCACTATGAGGTCCACTCCCAAGGCCTCGAAGACTCGCTCTCTGAGGAGGACTCGAACCACTCGCCAGAAGTCACGCAAAGAGGACACCAATCTGTGGGATAAAGCCATCCATAAGAATGTAAACCACAGATCAGTTATGAATGCATTTGTTGTAACCATTGACTTGTCTTTCACTTAAAGCCTGAACTCAAGCAATGGATCAATAGTTTCAATGAAGACATGAAGAAAATCGAGTCCTCGGAACTGTCGGTCATCGAGAGCTCACTCGCGGCCACAGAATAGTCACCATTGGATGACATGTTATGATTTGCCATTTGATTTCATTTCATCCATACGTTTGATTTCTGTATTAATACTACTTATGATACCATACCTCAACTCATATGATAAGTGTTTCCATAAAATGTATAATTAATTGATTTGTTAATTGTTTGCAAAAGAGAATTAATTTTATTGAATAAATATTTGTATTAAATTGAAGCAAAACATTGTGTCCCCTATTGAACATTGAGTGCACTGTATATAGAGTCTATAGTCTAGTTGCTAGACTAGAGCGGTACTGTATTCAGTTAACATTGTCCTCAATGGTACGGTCAATGATAAATTGAGTTGTGGTCAGTACGGTAGTGCCTTTATTTCACCATTTTCTATGTGTAAATTGCATCAATCATAAAATACAGTCGACAATCATTAATGATTCATTATATACTGTACAGTAGTAATGGTACCGTATAAGACAATAACCGGTAATGTATTACCGTAGCAAATCATAATAGATATTCAGTTTATATGATCAATAAGATTTTTTATTGATACTAATAATTTTCAATACAAATAATTTAAATTTATTATTATATCATCAAATCGTACAAATAAATAACATGCAGTATATACCTATAGAACTGCAATTATAATGCAATAATCATATTATCGTTCAAATATCGAAATATATTCATATAATCAATGAGAAGGTTTGTTCGCACGTGTGTTGACTTGGAGTGCATTCAGTCCAAGTGATCGAACAGCCATATGTCGGTCTCATAGCCCTCCCTCACGTGATCGCACAACACTTTCCTCCTGTCCTCACAATATCTCGAAATATTGATGACATCAGTCTT